TAGCCAAACACCCCACTATAACGACCGACCCCCCCGAGCCGACCGGTCGACTCCGACCCGGCCGCCCGGTCAGTTTGAGCGATACACACCTCTCAACTCCCCCATGGAGCATGTCCTCAATCAGATCCAACGGGACTACACCCTCAAGTGGCCCCTACCCTCACGAAACCCTTCCACTCGAAAAGATCAGTCCAAATACTGTCGTTTCCACCAAGACCATGGTCATACCACTGACGAGTGTATTAACCTCAAAGATCAGATCGAGACCTTCATATGCCAGGGCCGCCTCAGCCGATTCACAGACACCCGCCCTCCATAGAGGCAAAGAACCGACCTCACCAGGAACAATCGCCGACACACACCACCCCGCAATCAAGCCCCATCTAACCAAGGCCACGATCGCCCACCACCACAGCCTCGGCCTCCAGGTAATCCCCCTCCACCAGTCGGAGAAATCCGAGTTATTTTCGGCGGCCTTGCTTGCGGGGGACCATTCCGCTCGGCTCAGAAGGCAGAACTCAGAAAAATCAGGCAGGGCTCAGACAAAGCAGTGGCGACGGTGGACCGACCTCCCAAACAGTCAAAACAATGGATCGAACCCATCACCTTCACCGACACTGACTGTCCAAGAGTCCGTTACCCACATGATGACCCCCTTGTCATTTCAGCCATCCTCTCTAACTACAAAGTCAGACGAGTCCTCATAGACAACGGCAGCTCTTCAGACATTATCTTCCTCAATTGCTTCCGCCAGCTCAAGATTGGGGAAAAAAGCTTGTCTCCTCTCCAAACCCCTCTGGTCGGCTTCACCGGCCACCGTGTGACCTCCATCGGCTCCATCGATCTACCTATCACCATTGGCGAGCCCCCGCGGCAGACCACTAAGTTGCTCACCTTTCTTGTGGTCGACTGCCCCTCTGCTTACAACATCATCCTTGGCCGCACAGCCCTCAACGCCTTCCAAGCCATCACATCTACATATCATCTTGCCATCAAATTTCCTACCGATCTCGGTGTCGGAACTGTCAAAGGAGAACAGACCGTGGCCAGGGAGTGTTATGTCGCCTCACTCAAAGAAGTCAAGCTAAAAGAGGCCATGATCATCGAAGGGCTTGACGTCCGAGACGAGGACGAGCTGGTCAGAGGTGAACCTGTAGAGGAACTTGTTGAAGTTAACACTGATCCCACCAACCCAATCAAAACCGCCAAGATTGGCAGCCAATTACCTTCCCAAGCCAAGGCCGACCTTACTGCTCTCCTGACCGAGCACAGAGATATATTCACCTGGACCCATTTTGACATGCCAGGCATCGACCCCTCCTTCATAACCCATCGCCTCAGCATCGAACCCCACTTTCGACCCCACCGCCAGAAGCAACGCATTTTCCATCTGGAGCGCAACACTCTTATAGCCGCCGAAGTTGACAAACTCCTCGAGGCCCAATTCATCAAAAATGTGGACTATCCTAGGTGGTTGTCCAATGTGGTCCTCGTCCGCAAACACAATGGCAAATGGCGGCTCTGTGTCGACTACTCTGATCTGAACCGAGCTTGTCCCAAAGACAGCTACCCCCTTCCTCGCATAGATCTGCTGGTCGACGCCATAGCCGGCCATCAAATGCTCAGCTTCATAGATGCCTTCTCTCGGTACAACCAAATCCTGATGCACACATCTGACCAGGAGCACACATCATTTATTACCGACCGAGGTACCTACCACTACTGTGTAATGCCATTCGGATTGAAGAATGCTGGGGCCACTTATCAGCGGCTGGTTAACGCCGTTTTCCATCACCAAATAGGTCAGAATATGGAAGTCTACGTCGACGACATGCTAGTCAAAAGCAAATACTCCTCCGATCACCTTACTGATTTACGTGAGACCTTCGCCACCTTGCGCAAGTACCAGATGAAGCTCAACCCAGAGAAGTGCGCCTTCGGCGTAGGGTCTGGCAAATTTTTGGGCTTTAGGGTCAGCCAGCGCGGCATCGAAGCTAACCCTGAGAAGATCAAGGCCTTAGTTGAGATGCAGTCGCCTAAGACGGTCAAAGAGGTTCAGAGACTCACCGGCCGAGTGACAGTCCTCAACCGCTTCATCTCCCGTGCGACAGATAAGTGCTTGCCCTTCTTCAAAGTTCTTCGGCAGACTTTTGAATGGACAACTGAATCCGAAGAGGCCTTCCAACAGTTAAAGCAATGCATGGCCAACCCCCCCTTCTCTCCCAAGCTATCACGGGCGAACTCCTCTTCCTCTACCTAGCAGTATCGGGAACCGCAGTCAGCGCAGCTCTCCTCAGAGAAGATGGCTCAATCCAACGCCCGGTCTATTACATCAGTCGGGCTCTCAGGGGCGCGGAGCAGAACTACCCCCTGCTGGAAAAACTGTCCCTGGCCCTGGTCATTGCCTCCAGACGACTCCGCCCATACTTCCAAGCCCACTCCATAGTGGTCCTCACCGACCAGCCCCTGAAGAAGGTCATGCAGCAACCAGAACTCTCAGGTAGATTGATGCAGTGGTCCGTAGAACTTAGCCAGTTCGACATCTCTTACCGCCCTTGGACAGCAATCAAAGGGCAAGCTGTAGCTGATTTCATCATGGAGTTCACCAAGCCGACCCCGACCACTGCACCCCCGCTCCTACCAACTCCAACAGAGCCAGAAGATCCCCATTCTTGGACTCTTAACGTCGACGGTTCGTCCTGAAGAGAAGGAAGTGGTGCTGGCCTCATCCTCACCTCCCCTGAGGGCGGCTACTTCAAATGTGCCCTCCGTTTCTTGTTTGAAGCAAGAAACAATGAAGCCGAGTACGAGGCATTCATAGCAGGACTCCACCTTGCCAAGGACATAGGGGTCAGCCACCTCCGAGTATCCAGCGACTCCCAACTCGTCATCGGACAGATGACAGGGGACTTTGACGCCAAGGACGACACAATGCGAGCTTACAGAGATCTGGCACTCCCCCTTGCTCGCCTCTTCAATACTTTCCACATCAGGCACATTCCTCGGGGGGAAAACTCCAAAGCAGATGAGATGGCTCAGTTGGCCTCTGCTGACCACCCTACTCTCAACCATGATGTCCGTGTCGAATATCTACACCACCCAGCCATCTCACCAGCTCTGCAAGCCGTACAATACATCCAAAATGGACCCATCCCTTGGGCATCTGACATTCTCCTATTCTTGACCACGGGAGCCCTCCCAGATGACCAGCAGCAGGCTGCCAAAGTCCGATCCCGAGCGTCCAATTACGTCATTCTGGACGGTATATTGTACAAGCGCGGTTTCTCCCAGCCGTATCTACGGTGCCTCAACCCCGCCCAAGCAACTTATGTAATGCAGGAGATCCATGAAGGAATTTGTGGTAATCACTCAGGTGGCAGGTCCCTTGCCCATAAGGTACTCCGTACGGGGTATTTTTGGCCAACTCTTCATCAGGATGCGACCGACTTCGTACTCAAATGCGACAAATGTCAACGCTTCGCCAACATCCCCCATGCCCCCCCTACAGAGCTAATCACACTCTACAGCCCCTATCCGTTTGCCAAGTGGGGGATCGACCTGGTTGGTCCACTTCCCACCGGTCGAGGCCAGACCAAGTTCGCGATTGTTGCCATTGATTACTTTACCAAGTGGGTCGAGGCTGAACCCCTTGCCACAATCACCGAGCGGAACACCACCAGGTTTATCTGGCAATCGATCATTTGTCGATTTGGCATCCCTCAGGCCATCATCTCGGACAATGGCAAACAATTCGATAACGCAAAGTACAGAAAATTTTGTGCCGACCTCCAGATTCAACCATGTTTCTCCTCCCCCGGTCACCCTCAAGCAAACGACCAAGTTGAGGTCACCAACCGTTCCCTCCTGAAAATCATCAAAACCAAGCTCGAAGCTGCTAAAGGCCTTTGGGCCAAGGAACTACCAAACGTACTCTGGGCTTACCGAACCACTGCTCGCACTCTCACTGGAGAAATCCCTTTTCGCTTAACATATGGCGCTGAGGCAGTTATTCCGGTAGAAGTCGGTTTGCCTACCCCCAGGGTTTTACATCCGGACCTGGCCGCAGCCGAAGAACTCCATCGGACAGACTTGGACCTCGTCGAAGAGCTCAGAGAGACCGCTGCTGTCAGATTGGCTTCATACCAGCAGAAAATGAGAACACACTACAACCGCCGAGTCCGACCACGAGAGTTCTCCGTAGGGGACCTTGTCTTACGAGAAGTGACTCCTGCCACAAAGAATCCAACCGAGGGCAAACTGACAGCCAAATGGGAGGGGCCCTACGTTGTGAAAACCCGACCACGACCAGGCACTTACCGACTTCAAGACATAGAAGGCCGAGACCTGCCCCATCCCCGGAATGCGGAACATTTGAAGCGTTACTATCAATAATTCGTACTTTTGTATTGACAATATCGTTGATTTCCCTTTTTTATACATAATGCAAACTCCGCCTGGTCATTTCGGTTTTCATAATTCAACTGTCTCTATGTCGCTCCCAGACCGAGCACTTTAAAGCCTCAGCCAGACTGAGCACTTCAAAGCCTCAGCCAGACTGAGCACTTCAAAAGCCTCGGCCAGACCGAGCACTTCAAAAGCACTTCAAAGCCTCAGCCAGACTGAGCACTTCAAAAGCCTCGGCCAGACCGAGCACTTCAAAAGCACTTCAAAAGCCTCGGCCAAACCGAGCACTTCAAAAGCACTTCAAAAGCCTTGGCCAGACCGAGCACTTCAAAGCCTCAGCCAGACTGAGCACTTCAAAAGCCTCGGCCAGACCGAGCACCTCAAAAGCACTTCAAAAGCCTTGGCCAGACCGAGCACTTCAAAGCCTCAGCCTGACTGAGCACTTCAAAGCCTCAGCCAGACCGAGCACTTCAAAAGCACTTCAAAAGCCTCGGCCAGACCGAGCACTTCAAAGCCTCGGCCAGACCGAGCACTTCAAAAGCACTTCAAAAGCCTCGACCAGACCGAGCACTTCAAAGCCTCGGCCAGACCGAGCACTTTAAAGCCTCAGCCAGACTGAGCACTTCAAAAGCCTCGGCCAGACCGAGCACTTCAAAAGCCTCGGCCAGACCGAGCATTTCAACTGCCTCAGCCTGACTGAGCACTTCAAAGCAGAACCACATTTTCAACACTTAGTCACATTCTGAAGCTTCTTCACAGTTCCAGGACCACGTCTTTACCTAGTTAAATTCTCCACATACCCTCACGTATTTCACTTACTGATCAGATTATTTGCCAACTATTTAGTTACAATTTACAACCTGCCTCTTACTCCAATTTTTCCATTATCTTTTCAAATTTCATACAACTCCAATTTATTGACCCAATCTTTATGACCAATTTTAATCACAACATTTCATTCATGCTGGCAACATAAGCAAAATACACAAAATTCAACTGGTTATACATTCATCCATTACAATTAAATAATCTTTGTACACAACTTCATTACAGTTAAATTCTCCATACCTTCATTCATTCACTCATTCCTTTACAATGTGTTTACAAGTTTAACAAAAAAAAACAAACACAGAGCACGCCCAGTTTTTCTTCTCCTTGGCTACTCCTCCTCGCTGGATGCCAAATCCTCTTCTTCAACGCCTTCGTCCAGGGGGGTCTGGGCCACATCATCTTCGCCTATTGTCACACTACTCAGGTCCAAGTGTGGGAACAGCTCTTCAGCTCTGCGCTTGAACATTTTCCAACCGCTGTCCCAGAACTCGGCCATTTCGTGCTTATAGAAGTCTGACTGCTGGAAGCTTTCAATCACCTCTGCCTCTGTCCTACCTCCAGCAGTCTTCCTTGACGGG